TGACCCTTCTCGCCAGGTTTAATTCTAAGGAGGCCTTAGTCATCCTAGCTGCCTTCCTACATCCTCTAGCAGCAGCCTTATATTCTTCCCAAGTGGCCAGCCCCTCCTTCCATGACCCGTAAACTCTCCTCTTCCACTTGAGCATACCCAGCAATTCCCTATTTAGCCACGCAGGTCTCCTGGCCCTCTTCCTTGACTTCCTACGTGTCGGGATGCTCTGATCCTGAGCTCTGAAAAAGCAATCCTTGAATGCCAACCAACTATCTTGGGCCCCTTTACCTTCAAACAGCCTTGCCCATGGGATTTCCCCTAGCAATTGCTTGAAAAGGCCAAAGTTTGCCCTGCTAAAGTCCAGGGTTGCAATTCTACTTGCTATTCTACTGGTCCTACCACACAAGATCCTGAATTCCACCATCTCGTGGTCGCTGCAACCAAGGCAGCCCTCAACCCTTACTGCTTCGACCAGACCCTCCTTGTTAGTGAGGATGAGATTCAGCAGCACTCCTCTCCTGGTTGGCTCATCCACCATTTGCAGGAGGAAGTTATCATCCATACACTGGAGGAACCTCCTGGACTGCGGCTGGGTTGCTGAGTGGTCCTTCCAGCAAACATCAGGGAAGTTAAAATCCCCCACAACAACCACAGCCTGTGACTGTGAGGCCCCTCTCAGCTGCCTGTAGAAGGCCTCGTCAACTTCCTCACCCTGATCAGGTGGTCTGTAACAGACACCTACAACAGTATCCCCTCTGCCAGCCTGCCCCTTAATTCTCACCTACACTCTCAACTCACTTGTCATCTGTCCCTGGACAGAACTCAGTGCATTGTAGTTCCTCCCGCACATAAAGAGCAACCCCACCACCCCTCCTGGCTGGCCTGTCTTTTCTGAAAAGGACATAGCCCTCCATGACTATATTCCAGTCATGTGAGCTTTCCCACCACATCTCTGTAATTGCCACCAGATCATAGTCTCCTGACTTAACACAGGCTTCCAACTCCTCCTGCTTATTTCCCATGCTGCGCACATTGGTGTACAGACATTTCAGGGAGAGAGCTGAGCGCACCGATTTCACCCTAGGATTATAGGGGGCCTCCCAGTCTTCATTAATTCTGGAGTGCCGCCCCACTGGGGCAAGCCCAGCTACAACCCCATCCCCCTTCGAATCTAGTTTAAAGCTCTCCAAATGAGCCCTGCTAATTCATGCCCCAGCATCCTTTTGCCTCTGTGACATAAACCTTTCCCACTTGTCATTGTCCAGACTGGTGCCCTATAAAATCAGCTGTTATCAAGGAATCCAAAGCCCTGCCTGTAGCACCAGTCTCGAAGCCAATCGTTTATGGACTGAATCTTCCCATTCCGTCCCACATCATCAGTGGAAGATGGAAGGAGTGAGGAGAAGATCACCTGAGCCCCAGACTCTTTCACCATCCGCCCCAAGGCCCTGTAGTCTTTCTTCATCCCCCTCAGACTGCAGGAAGCAGCTTCCCCCTCACCTGTCTGGAAGACCAGCAGCGGGTAGTAGTCTGTCGGGTGCACCAGGTCGGGGAGCGCTCTAGTGATATCCCTGATCCGGGCTCCAGGCAGACTACACACTTCCCTATGATGAGGGTCAACTCTGCATATCAGGCCCTGTGCTCCTCTCAGAAGGGAATATACATCCATATACACACAGACCAAGAGAAAGAGATCATTTTCTTAGTGCATGGACCAATCCCTATAATGCTGCCGAGTCCGTTCGGTCCATGATGTCAGGTTCCATCTCTGGTAACAATCTTTCAGGGCAGGAAAGGCTGTGTGCAGTATTGGATCATTGCCTGCTGATTCTGGTTGTTCCTTTACTGTGGAACTCATCTAGTTCTATCAAAGTTCATTCTCTGTTGGGATGATGGTTGGAGCAAAGTCAGGGCTAATCACTGGTGACATGGAGACATCTAGTTAATGAGCTATGAAAGTACTACACAGCAGGTAACAGCATACAATTAAGTTCATTGGTTGTTTTCCCCTAAAATGAAATGCCCTTGAGGTATACATCGGACTTCCCCATCTTTCCGCATTACCCACCAAGTATATCCAGGTCCCTCATGCCACCATCCATGAGTCAGTATACAGGTAAAGTACTGGCCACTTTTCTTGTTCAGCAATGTCCAGGGCCAGCTGGATGGCTTTCACCTCGGCAAACTGACTCAATTCATCCTCTCCTTCAGCAGTTTCTACAACTTGTCGTCCAGGACTCTATACAGCATCCTTCCATCTCCGATGCTTTCCCACAATACGGCAAGAGCCATCAGTAAACAAGGCATACTGCTTTTCACTTTCTGACAGTTTATTATATGGTGGGGCCTCTTCAGCACGCATCACCTCCTCCTCTGGTGACATTCCAAAATCTTTGCCCTTTGGCCAGTCCATGATGACTTCTAGAATGCCTGGACGACTGAGATTTCCTATTCGAGTTCATTGTGTAATTAGTGCAGCCCATTTACTCCATGTAGCATCAGTTGCATAATGTGTAGAGGAGACCCTGCCTTTGAACATCCAGCTCAGCACAGGCAACCGGGGTGCCAGGAAGACCTGTGCTTCAGTGCCTATCACTTCCAAAGAAGATCAAACGCCTTCATAGGCTGCCAGTATCTCTTTCTCAGGTGGGGCATAGCTGGACTCACATCCTTTGTATCCCCGACTCCAAAAGCCGAGGGGTCGACCTCGAGTCCCCCCTGGAGCTTTCTGTCAGAGGCTCCAGGTAGGATCCATCTCCCCAGCTGCAGTGTACAGTACATTTTTTACATCTGGCCCAGTCCAGACAGGTCCAAGGGCTACTGCATGAACTATCTCACGTTTAATTTGCTCAAAGGCTTGTTGCTGCTCAGGGCCCCATTTAAAATCATTCTTCTTCTGGGTCACATGATAGAGAGGGCTTACAATCGAACTGTAATTTGGGATGTGCATTCTCCAGAACCCCACTGCACCCAAGAAAGCTTGCGTTTCTTTCTTATTAGTTGGTGAAGACATTGCTGTTATCTTGTTGATCACATCTGTGGGGATCTGTCTACGTCCATCTTGCCATTTTATTCCCAAAAATTGAATCTCCTGTGCAGGTCCCTTGACCTTACTCCGTTTTATGGCAAAACTGGCTTTCAGCAGGATTTGGATTATTTTCCTCCCTTTCTCAAAGACTTCTTCCGCTGTATCGCCCCACACAATAATGTCATCAGTGTATTGCAGGTGTTCTGGAGCTTGCCCCTGTTCCAGTGCAGTCTGGATCAGTCCATGGCAAATGGTAGGGATGTGTTTCCACCCCTGGGGCAGTCGGTTCCAAGTGAACTAGACACCCCTCCAAGTAAAAGCATACAGTGGCCTGCACTCTGCTGCCAAAGGAATTGAGAAAAATGCATTGGCAATATCAATCGTGGCATACCACTTGGCTGCCTTTGACTCTAATTCATACTGATGTTCTAGCATGTCTGGTAGGGCAGCACTCAATGGTGGTGTGACTTCATTCAGGCCACGATAGTCTACTGTTAGTCTCCACTCTCCATTAGAGTTTCACACTGGCCATATGGGGCTATTAAAGGGTGAGCGGGTCCTGCTGATCACACCCTGACCCTCCAGTCAACGGATCAGCTGATGGATGGGAATCAGGGAGTCTCGGTTGGTGCGATATTGCCGCCGGTGCACTGTTGTGGTCGCAATTGGCACTTGTTGTTCTTCAACTTTCAGCAACCCCACAGCAGAGGGATCTTCTGAGAGACCAGGCAAGGTGGACAGCTGCTCAATTTCCTCAGTCTCCAAAGCAGCAATACCAAAAGCCCACCGGTACCCTTTTGGATCTTTGAAGTACCCTCTCTTGAGGTAGTCTATGCCGAGAATGCATGGAGCCTCTGGACCAGTCACAATAGGGTGCTTTTGCCATTCCCTCCCAGTCAGGCTGATTTCAGCCTCCAGCACAGTCAACTCTTGGGATCCTCCTGTTACTCCAGAAATATAGATGGGTTCCACCCCTTGACAGCTTGATGGCATCAGGGTACACTGTGCACCGGTATCTACTAGAGCCTTATACTTCTGTGGGACTGATGTGCCAGGCCATCTGATCCACACAGTCCAGTAAATCCGATTGTCCCCTACCTCCACCTGGCTGGAGGCAGGGCCCCTCTAATGGTCATCACAGTGTTGGACACTTAAGTCGTGTTGAAAGGGATGATTCTTCATTATCACAGGAGCTGGAGTAAAATCAGCTCCTCCTTTGCATCGGGGAAACTGCTCACCAAAGACTGAAGCCATAGCTATCATGGGACAATCAGTCTTGGCCTTTGCTCCCCTCTTCAGTTCACTCACCCGTTCCTCCAAAGCTGAAGTAGGTTTTCCATCCCACTTTGTCATGTCTTCTCCGTGATCCCACAGGTAAAACCATAGGGTAGCCCGTGGGGTATACCTCTATGAACAGCCTTTCATATATCAGCCTTAATTTTGGAAGATGTAAGCAGACATGTTAAATTCTAGTGCACCCAACTGTTCATAGCAAAAACTGTAAAAGTTTCCCATTGTAGCACTGAAAATCCTTTCTGTAATGTCTCTAATTTATATCTTTACCTCTTAGTCTTCACTCATGCTAGCCAAGAATGCACTAACTCAAAAGGATTTAATTTCGCAGTGAAGTATTATGCCTCCAAACAAGCCCTTGCATGACTTACCTAGAAGAAGAGATAAAACATTAACTGAATTAATTAATTGCATTAACAGAATCATAGTTTTGCACTGGCTTGACATTTTAACACCAATGATGATCTGGCCAATAACTGCTTGTCCACGAGAAAAACCATTCACAAAAGTTTTATAAAATAAAAAAAAATCTAAAAAAAAAAAAATCCCCTTTCACCTCAAATAAGTGAAGCTTAAGCTCTGTACTACTAGGCTATGTTTAGAAAAATGCAAATAAGACAGTAATTTTTGAGGCTACACATTGTAAAATCCTATAAGTCAGCATAACATTGGACTGTGCAAACAAATATAGCAAATATTTCAGATGTCATTTATTTGGTCCATCAGATGTACAGTATAGTAGCAGTATCTGTGTCTACAAAACATCAAATATAAATAACTTGAAACTGTAACAATACACAAAAATTTGATTCTTAAAATTGATATACCAGGCAGTACAAGCTGAAAAACTTGAGTAAATTAACAGTTTTACAGTAATGTACAGTGCCAGCTGAAGTTTAAGAACACCGTTAAAACATGGCACTAATTTCCTTTATTGAGTTTTCTTCTTGTTCAGGGTGTGGAAAAGTTTTTAGGACTAGGCTAAAACTCTTTTTCTTCAAGATATAGAAAAAAAAGTAGTTACATGAAAAGTAGATTCTATGAAATAGTAATCTGTAAGTATTTACTAACTATGTTTCTACTACATTTAATATATGGAATTCACATGGAAAAACTGCTGAGTCTATTGAGATGAGAGCTTTATCATCAAGAGAAACAGACACAAATTATTTAAGCCAGTGGTCTGGTATTTACTTGGGACGACGGCCTTAAAATTAGTCTAGTTCTGGATATTTTTCACATCCCAACATAATACGCTATTACTGTATTACATCATCTAAATCATTTTGTCAAGGGGCATTTGCATGTTCAGTCTAACTGTATAATTTCATCTTGCTCTTCTGTCTGCTCAGTACACACTCTCTTTGTACTGACACACTCTTTATCTTCTAGTTTTCTCTTGCGGGTTTTGTTTTCTATATCATCCTCAACATTGCTCGAAGTACTTTCATCTTCAGAATCAAGAATCAGTAGATCATCTGGAGCTGCAAAATATGTTTTTAATTCAAATGGATACTGTAAAATTTCATACATAAAAATGTCTCTAATACAACAAATCCACCTTAGAGCTTTCTTTATCCATATTCTTTGTCACTTAACTGCAAGAATATTTTGAAAAGTGTAAATCAGAACTAAAAGATATTTAACTTACATCTGTCAACCAGTATTCAGATTCATACACTACCCCTATAAAACAGTAGGTTTCCGGAACATTAGATTTCCGTTCTTAAGCATCCCACATTAAGTTAAACTACTTTGAATATGTCCATATCTTCTACATTAAGAACGTGATGGTACTTCTTCCTGAATAGGAAATACTATTTTCTTACCATGCTTTGCTTGACAGGTAAAAAAGAATTTTTTTGAAGCAGATAAAGATTTCATGTTGTTAATTTAAAAAGATGTGATCAAAGACATCCAAAGTAATTTTTAATCTGCAAGGAGAAAGTCATAAATTTGATTGATTCTTTTTTGTCAAGCAATAGCATGACCATCAGATAGAATGGGTCCAACTATTTAAAACACTGTACAAATTGATGCATTTAAGATAACACCCCACCAAACCCTTGCAAGTTAAATATAATTTCAAGGTGTATTTACTGTAAGTCTTTCAATAATCTTAAATGTGCATTCTTTAACAATTAAAAATGCATTTTTTCTATTTAACATTATATTTATGCACAAAGACAATTTAAATGCCTTTTATTTCATGTTGGCAAAAAGTCATAAAACTGAAGACAGCTATTCTAATTGGACTGCACTACCAAAACTCTCTTTAATTTCATATTTATTATTGTTATTTACCTGTTGATGTTGAGGGCTGTGCTCCATCATCACTACCATTGGTAATGTTCCTGGATGTTGGTTCTGATGGTTTAGGGCCAACTTTTTCAGGGTTATCACCAACAACTTCAAATTCTATCTCTTTTTCTAGGTCTTCACTGCAGAAGAATACATATGCTTTTAAACAACCAGGTAAAAATAAAAAAATCCTGTCTTTTAAAGAAAGAAAATATGTCACTCCAGTGTTAGAGCACCCTGCAACTGTGACAAAATGAGAAAAAACAAAAAAAAAAAAAAGGGAAAATCTGTTCAGTCCTCCTTTAGAATTTATGCTTTGGTTATTTATAAACACTGTTCCACTCAGTGCCATGACTTAAAACCATTACCTGAGCTTACCTTTCTTCCTCAATGTCACATTCCTATTCTCACTCAAAGTGGAGTGTGTCAAATTACTGTATAAAAATGTATATTACTTATCCAGGGTTAAATACACACATCAGTTATTCCAAAGTAACTTCTATTTGCATTGCTGTATCTGAACAAGTAGTCAAACAGAGAAATTACTACCCCAGCAGGCTGGGTGTTTTTTTTTGACTTAAAAAAAAATAAATAAATAAAAAATGTTGTCCTGGGTTCAGCAGTAGCAGTCATGTTTCTCCTCCTTGGTAGCTGCTGCAGTGCAGTGTTTTGACTTTCGGCTCGGGAACAGAGCTGATAGAGATGTTGTGGTTTGGCCAAGGACTTTGTGAGCCTCATGCTCTGCCAGGGAATAGGGGAAGCTGAGAGGAAGCAGAGACAGGACACCTGACCCAAACTGACCAAAGAGGTATTCCATACCACAGCACGTCATGCCCAGGATGTAACTGGGAGTGAGCCGGAAGGGCTGGGAGACTGCAGGGTTGGAGGAGGTATCGGTCGGAGCTTGGTCGGGCTTGGGGGGCGAGTTATCGGTCAGCGGGTGGTGAGGTGTTGTATTCTGTTCCCTTGTTATTTCCTTTATCATTATTATCATTGGTGGTAGCAGTAGTGATTTGTGTTATACCTTAGTTACTAAACTGTTCTTATCTCAACCCGTGGGAATTGCATTCTTTTGATTCTCCTCTCCGTCCCTCCGAGAGCAGGGGGAGGGCAAGAAAGGGGGGGGAAGTGAGCGAACGAATTACCTGACTGGGTTTAAACCACGACAGTTCTTTTTGGCACCCAACGTGGGGCACGAAGGGTTGAGATAACGACAGATTTGACTGGATTAATAGTCATTCGTCACAATGCTGATTTATTGGGTATCAGAGTTGTTCTTCTTGATCTCACAGCTTCAGACCGTTGTAACTTACGTAGAGCCGGTATTTGCTCTGATAGTGTTTATCAAGTGTGGGGCTTGGGCTAAGGTTCTTGCCTCACTGTGCTTTATGGCAATGGCTTGTAATACGGGTGGGCTCCAGCAGCAGGGCGGGACGGACGTGGCCGGGGACTTGTACCTGGCCGTCCGGCTGCTCTTCACCGTCCTGGCCCTCGCCCTACTCTCCATCTTCGTGAGGCTGCAGGGAACTGAGGGGGAGCGGTCCCGGGAGGCGGCGGCTGCTGAAGCGGCCCGGGAGAGCAGCCCCGGGGACCAAGCGGCGGCGGGAGCGGGGCCGGAGGCCGCGAAGGGACGGCTGCCGGTGGAGGAGGCCGGGGCGGTCGAGGAGCAGAAGGAAGCGGCTGCCGAGCAGCGGGATAAGGCGGCGGAGGAGCCGAGCCCCGCGGAAGAGCCGAGCTCGGCGGAGGAGCCGAGTCCGGCGGCCGAGCCGAGCCCCGCGGCCGAGCCCCGCCCTGAGACGGCCGAGAGCATCCCCCGGAAGCCGCCCGCCGAGCCCCAGGAGGATGCCGGAGACCACGCAGCATTTCCCAGCAAGGCAGAGGAGGAAGAGCTGGACTCAGGAAAAGAGAAGCTGGCGGTGGGAGAGCCGGCAAGCACAGCAGCTACACCAGCCCCAGTGACAAGCACAGCAGCATCGTTTGACAGTTCTGAAGGCTCTGAATGGCCTTTGGGTACCCTTGGGACCTGCCTGCTGATTGTGATGGGGATCAGCATGTTGGCACACACACAGACTGTGTTCTACCCACAACCATTTTGTCTGATCTCAAAAGTTAAGCAGAGTCAGGTTTGGGTCTTGTCTGGGGTTAGACAACAATATAGGGGGACCAAGAGATTTTCCCCAAGGCTGGAGAGTCATGAGTGGCAGGGTGTGTGGGACAGTATGGGCAAGTATCTAGTCCACTGGGCCCCTCCAGTGCTTTGGAAGCGTCGGAGATGGAAGGCAGCTGTATGGAGTCCCCAGCAACAAGCTGCAGAAACTGCTGAAGGGGACAGTGAATTATTTTGAGCCTGGTGGGCCCATGGCACTTCAGGCCATCAGAGCAGAGATGCAACACAGAGATGGACTCATGATCGAGGGGTGGACATAACAATGGACACTATTGCCCAGGTTATTCACGCGTGTGAACACTGCACACAGTCTCTCCTGCTCTGGAAGACTGTTACAAGAGATGGAGCCTGACATGGACCAGATGGACGCAGCAGCTTTATAGGGACTGGTCCATGCACTAAGATAAGAGTGCACCGAGATAAGAGTGATGGTATATTGAAAATGTGGGATCTGAGCATGACGTGAATGGTATGGAATAAGGGGTGGATAATGTCCTGGGTTCAGCAGTAGCAGTCATGTTTCTCCTCCTTGGTAGCTGCTGCAGTGCAGTGTTTTGACTTTCGGCTCGGGAACAGAGCTGATAGAGATGTTTTGGTTTGGCCAAGGACTTTGTGAGCCTCATGCTCTGCCAGGGAATAGGGGAAGCTGAGAGGAAGCAGAGACAGGACACCTGACCCAAACTGACCAAAGAGGTATTCCATACCACAGCACGTCATGCCCAGGATGTAACTGGGAGTGAGCCGGAAGGGCTGGGAGACTGCAGGGTTGGAGGAGGTATCGGTCGGAGCTTGGTCGGGCTTGGGGGGCGAGTTATCGGTCAGCGGGTGGTGAGGTGTTGTATTCTGTTCCCTTGTTATTTCCTTTATCATTATTATCATTGGTGGTAGCAGTAGTGATTTGTGTTATACCTTAGTTACTAAACTGTTCTTATCTCAACCCGTGGGAATTGCATTCTTTTGATTCTCCTCTCCGTCCCTCCGAGAGCAGGGGGAGGGCAAGAAAGGGGGGGGAAGTGAGCGAACGAATTACCTGACTGGGTTTAAACCACGACAAATGTTAACAACAATTTCTCACTTGTTGGCTGCCTCAAAAGTAAATTTGTTTTCTGCACTGTATTTTTATGTTGTACAATGATAACTCATTCAAATAAACATTTCCCAGTTACTCTTGGGAAAAAGCCCTCAACAACCTAAACACACTAAACTCCATAAATTCATAAAAAAAAAAAAACCAAACAATTCCTCTTCTACCTCTTTATTTTCTGTCCACAACTTAATCTTTGAGCTTTATTCATCAATTTAAAATTTTGATTTGGAAATTCCCTGTGGAACTGTTCTACATCTATGTACAAAAATAATTATTTCAGAATCCTTACCTATGAAGCACATTGATTAACAGTGTATAGTCCTGAAGGAAATCATCTGCTTGTAGTCGAGTGCCGTTTCGAATTCCGAATTCCGATAACTTCCTGTGGTTATTCGCTACAAAAAAAAGTGAAAGCCTGTAGTGTATACAGCTATTTATGTAAAAATCCATTACACCTGAATAAGTAGGATGAAATGAGTACTTCAGAACTTTTATGTAGAAACCTAAGATTAACATTTATTAGCTATATTTGAAGTAAAAGCTAGCCATCAGGAGTTAAAACTACATTTAAGCCTATCAGGAGTTAAAACTACATGTTTGACTTATTTACCCCTCATGCATCATGTTCAAGCACTTCACTACTATTACATTTAGAAACATTTTGGAGATATTTATATTACAATAGTGCTTACAAGCATCATAAAAAGACCACAGTCTAAGAACAAGAAAAAAAGGGGGCTTGCAAAGTGAGGAAAATGACTGGTGCACTTTCATAGCTGAATACCTACTCTTGAAAGGAATCCTGATGGTCCAGGTGAAAAGTACTTTAAATAGGAAAAACTGAGCTGGACATGCAAGCTTGTAGACAATACCACTAAGCTATTCTCAAGCCACTTAAATACTTGCAAATCCACTTATCTTCCAATACTAGTCTATGGGATGAACATGAACATTTGCTGTACTTCCATTCTTGGTTTCTTCCTAGTTTCTATCTACTCTTATCTAAAAAGCTTCAGTATGCATACCTTCTGTTTCTCCTTCTTCTGAAGAGATAAGGATAGTTCCTTTTCCATCATCTATTTGTACATCTGGTGCTACCATAGCAAATTTTTCTTTCACTATCTGAAAGGATGTAGATGATTAATCAGACTTAAAATAATTCAAGGTTCTTTTTTATAAGTGTTTTTGATTTTCTTATCCTGGCTCATTTTCAGACATCTGCTGAAAGCCTATAAAGCCTATACTTTTTAATTTTATTTTTTTTAATTTCCATGAACAAAAGAATTATATTTTTCACTATCTGAAATCTACAGGTTTAGATATGCTGAAAAAAAATTTGAATACTTCATAAAATGGCAGAAATACAAATCTACTGTGACCATACAGCTGTAATGTGGCTACTGAACAACTGAAATACAAATTTAGTTTTTTGCTGTTAGATATCAACAGGCTTTAAAACCATCAAAAGGTCACAAAATACAAACATTCTTTCACAAGATATAAAAGCGCATATGTGCAAGAAGCATACTGGCTAATCTAGGTCCTCCTGTTGCTCAGAGAAATGCAAAACGTAAAGCAAATATAAACAGTTGGTGTTCAGTCAAAATACATTGAACAAAACCCTAACTTTAATAATTTACAGTATTAGAACAATAATGAAGGCCGTAGCCAATACTTAAGATTTACCTTATCCTGGAGCGTTAACACAGTAACTTTGTGTACATTAAGTTTCACAGTCACTTCTGGCTTACTTGCACATACGTAACAGTTCGGATTTGGTGGATCCAAAGCACAAGGAACCAATAGTTTCTTTCTGGGATTTGGCTGCTTGTTCAGAAAAATCTTGAGGACAAACAAGAACAAAACAAGTTATTCTGTAAATAACAGCACTCATAAAACCTGTTTTCCTACAGATTTATTTTTAATCTCGCAGGTTTTCTTGTTCCCTAATCTTCTTTGACATGCCTGCTTAACAGGAGAAAGTACATATTACAGCCAGTCCTCAATAACACCTGTGCTGACTGACCAGCTGCTGCCAAATTAAGAAGAAACAACCATGTTTCAAGTGATGTCAGTTTGGTTCTCTCCTATCCAGCAACTAATTTTCATTAAATCAGAGGAATTTAATGTTGCTTAAGACTTCCACTTCTCTTTTCATTGTGACTGAAAGTTCCCAGCACATTCAGGATCTACCAAAAATCTACTAAAGCAACAAGTGAGAGACAGTAAAACTACACAATAGCTAAAGGAAGCTAAAATGACTTCTAAACAAATAATAACTAACAAGTAAAAGTATCTCATTCCCACTTACCGTTTTACACTGATCTATTTTTCCTGATAAAATCTTCAAACCCTGCAGCACTATCAGACCAGCTATTACCGCATTAGTAGTAGCTATAGCTGGGATAATATTTCCTGCCATTGCTGCAAAATAAGCAAGAGTATGCAGAGTTTTATCAGTAAATTAAAATGAGATGTTTAAATAATTATTTAAATTAAAAAAATGTTTTAGTTTATCCTTACACTTGATGTCAAATCTGCTCTTCATATTCATACCGAAAACATGCATCCTGAGGTTCGCAGCAGAAGTGACAAAATCCAGTGCAGAAGGATCATCCTTGACAATAAGTTAATATACAAAGTATTTAAAAATCAGATTAGTCACTGGAAAAAGTCTGCAACACACACATAAACCTTAAAGACTAAAAAAAAAAAACAAAAACAACCAAACAAAAACCAAACACCTCTGCAATATTCCATTTCAAAGTCAATATACTTCCTCTTTCAGATGGCATGTTTATAGTCAGAGCAGTAATACTTTAAATATACATGTTTAGAAATTGTATTTAGTACTTTAGTAGTGTATTAGTGTCAATAAAATGCCTTGCATGTTAAAAAAAAAAATACCCAAACCCTAAATCTTAAAACATTTTATTCTCAGTTTCAAAAGTCGGTGTTTCAGAAAGAATTATTTTTACTAATTGTTGTAATATTATTTTATTATTTTGTCCCTCCTATATTTATAGACTCCTTTTTTTTTATTTATTCTAAAAGGACAATGACTGCAGGAGGATTACACTGTGGTGCCTAGAGAAAATTCTTCTTTTTCTTCAGTGAAACTAGTAATATATCACATATCTATCATTTGAGCTAATTTACAAGGTACAACTCGGTAGAACTCTAGCTACAAACCACTGTTTATGAGCATGTTTTAGAGAAAGCTAAAAAGGAAAAAATTAAGTTGCATTAGTAAAATATTTTCAAAAATCAAAATATGACAAGTACTTCTGAATTTATGCTTTTTGAAGTTGGTGAATTATTTTACATCACAATAGTTTACCCTTACACACAGCAAGTTACAAAATATAGCGTTAAAGTATGTATTTGTTTACATATGCAAGGTGCTTTCAGTGAGGTGCCAGACATTATTAGTAGTACTATTTTAGAATGAAACCAAATGAGTCCAATATTTATACTACATATGTAGAGTATAACTGGTTCTTATGTATTTGGTAGACTAACTTTATCCCATATAAGCTCTGCTCCATGACCCTTCTCGGCCAGCTGAAGTCTCAGGGTTTCAACAGTCTTTGAAAATAAGTGTGCATAGCTCTCGACATTGAGAACCTGCTGATCCTTCAAGACTGCAGAGGACTCATTTTGTTTGTCCGATGTGTTTTTCTCTTTGGGAAAAGAAAAAAATAATTAAGATTAGGAAGACCCAAAAAATATCACAAAAGGTCTCTCAAAGAGATATGAATTTTCCAATTCAGCAAAAGTCTTTTCTAAATTGAATAATATCTTTAAACTATAGTAGCCCCAACATTTTACAACAAATCACAAACCTGAATTTAAAACTGCAACTACATTTACACCAATCACCTACATGTGCACAAATTACAGCAAATGTACTTTTACAGCAAAACTCAGCTTTCAGAGATAAAAATGTATCAGTGCTCCTGGAATAAGCCGATATGTAATTTTGTGAAATGTGAATTTTCTGCAGCAAATACCGAGTACCTAAAATAACAATTGCAGAACATTTTTAGATAAAAATGGTTTCTATATAGAGAAAAATTTTAAATCTTCAGGAATCACAAAGAATTAAGACATTCATTATCAGCACTCAACTGTGGCAGTAAGAAAATGTATGTATCACAGAGCTGCCTTAAGAAACAGCAGGTATGGCTTACAAATAAACAGTGAGAGGAGGGACAATTACCTTGATTTTGTACCTCAGTCCAGTCCAGTGGCACTGGAGGCTTTCTTTTCTGCCATAGCTTATCCATTGTCAGCAGATATCTAATGTCATCTTTGAAAAGCTAGGAAACAGTAAAACAAAGAACAAAAAAAACCCCACCAAAACAACAAACAAAGCACATTAAAATGAAAGGTAAAAAAAAAAAGGTATATTTTTAAAGTTGCTGTGAAATTGAAAAATCGGTATTAGGTTTATGAGGTCTTGCTCTTATCCTTGAAAATATTTTCAACCACACAGAATCATAGAATGGTTAGGGTTGGAAAGGACCTTAAGATCACCTAGTTCCAAAGCCCCTGCCATAGGCAGGGACATCTCACACTAGACCATGTCACCCAAGGCTCTGTCCAACCTGGCCTTGAACACTGCCACAGATGAAGCATTTACTACTTCAGGCAACCCGTTCCAGTGCTTCGCCACCCTCACAGTAAAGAAATTTTTCCTTATATCTAACCTGAACTTGCCCTGTTTTAGTTTAAACCCATTACCCTTTGCCCTATTGCTACAGTCCTGATGAAGAGTCCCTCTCCAGCATCCTTGCAGGTCTCCCTCAGATATTGGAAGGCTGTTATAAGGTCTCCATGCAGCCTTCTCTTCTCCAGGCTGAAGAGCCCCAACTTTCTCAGCTTATCTTCATATGGGAGATGCTCCAGCCCCCTTACAATCCTGGTGGCCCTCCTCTGGACTTGTTCCAACAGCTCCATGTCCTTCTTATGTTGAAGACACCAGAATTGCACACAGTACTTTAAGTGGGGTCTCATGAGAGCAGACTAGAGGGGCAGGATTACCTCTTTCCACCTGCTGGTCATGCTCCTTTTGATGCAGCCCAGGATACGGCTGGCTGGCTGGACTGTGAGCACACACTGCCGGCTCATGTTCAGTTTCTCATCTACCAACACCCTGAAGTCCTTCTCCACTGGGCTGATCTGAATCACTTCACCCAACCCATAGCTGTGCCTGGGATTGACCCGACCCAAGTATAGGACCTTGCACTTTGGCTTCGTTGAACTTTATGTTGTTGGCATTGGCCCACCTCTCAAGAATGTTAAGGTCCCTCTGGATGACAGATTTGAAAAACTTCTTATTCCTCATTCTCTAAAACTTACTACATAAAGTACGCTCAGCTCTGCTTAATCTGAGGAGTAAAGTAAAAATCAAGAAACAATAATCCAAACATGTAGTGGGTTCATGTGCCTACTAAAGCCATCACTGTAGCTCTTCACAGCTCCCTGAGATAATTCTTACCTACATGCCAATGTTTCCAAAGCAATTACTCCTATCAACATTACATTCTATACAAATTTCCTCTATTTACCCACTTTCAGCAACTATTTATAGTTTGTATTTTCTCATGCCAGAGCCTGATTATACACAGATAACTGGTAGCTTTTTAGGTCCTTAGATTGATTCTGATTATGCCCAGTGAAACTCCTATAGAATTCAGGTTTACCTTTTCATATTAAAAGAAATGTGAATGAAGTTTTTTCTGTACAGTACAGACAAGCTACTGAAGCCATCTGTACAGATGTAGATGGAATGCTGTAAAACAAACAAGTGTTGTAAAAGACCAAGACTACAGCAATATTAGTGGAAGCTGTAACATAACTACATAATAAATAGCTAGCATTAAGTGTCTAACTAAGGTTTGACAACTTTACAGCACCTCATACACTTCAAATAAAGACATTTATTGCAGATAAAGAAGATACCTTAGTAAAAAGTTTAACTGGATCATATCCAGTTGATTTAGCCCACTCCTTAGTTGAAACACGTTTAATCTCACCATCTTCATTGGATGCTTGTTCTCTGGCTTCTGCTGGCTCCCCTATTAATAAAGTGTTAACCAATATTTTAAGAAAATAAATAAAAAAAAAGCAGCAAGCAAAGTCCCATCCAAACATTTCCCCTGGAGTCAATAACAAAAATTAGGCAGGGACCATAAAATGGCTTTACTGTGCCCAACAACACTGAATTAGACACAGTGTGACTCCTCCTCTTTGCTTCTGTAACTGCAACTCACTAATTGATGTCACCTCCTTCTTTTATTGGCAGAAACAGCAAACAATTGTTCCCTAATACTCTCCACATAATGTTGTGATTTCGTAAATGTTCAGTGATTCCCTTTTAGTATTCTCCTGTCTTAGTCTGGTTTGAACTTCAACACAAAAAAACACAAACCAAACCAAAAAAACACCTTACCTCTGGTTATTTCTATAGAAAAAAGATTCCATGCATACAGATGCTATCCATTTTGTGTTTCTTTCCCAGTCACATCCAGCAATTGCTATCACAATTCCCAATAAGCAGCAGGTTGATGTTTTCATAAAACTATCTATTAACATCTTGACTGAATGAGAAAAATCAGAGACCATCCTTTATATGTAAACCTATGAACATTTCTCCCCCCCACCAACACGATTTGCATCACTTCATATTTATCTGCACCAAATCTACCTAATGTTACATTGCCAAGTCATTCTGCATTGTGCAGCTTTCTACTACTTTTTGCAGTTGGTCCTCATCTTATTATCCTGAATGACTGCCTAATTTTGCATGCTGAACAGCACTGGTCCCATCCCCAAGCTGAGACACTCCTCTAATCACCACTTATCTCTATCATTTAAGTAGTTTATCCACTTCAGGATCTCCATCCTTTTTTCTCCCCATGACTGCTGAGCTCCTTCAGGTTCCTCACAAAAAGTTTGATATTCAGAAGTGTAAACCAAATATGCTTGTCCACAGATTTCCCAACTCCTTTAATGGACCTGTAGAGCCCTGCAAGGCATGAATTCCCTTTGCAAAGGTTGCACTGACTCTCCCCGATACACCATGTATGTCCACTGATTCTCAACAGCATTATCACTATGAACAGTTTGCTCATTAAGATAAGAGGCTACAGCTCAGGCCCTCCTATAATTGCCCTGATATCTTTGTTTAAACTAAGTGGCATTGTGTCTGCTACCTTCCAAGTATTCCAGCAGCCACTGTTTTGAGCAATTTTATACACCACTGTTTTTAAGGCTCAGCTATTTCATTCTGCACATCTTGTAGGAACAACCTGTTGGGTGATCACTACCTGATGTTCAGAGAATCTGAAGAGTTGGAGGATCCTCTAAGCTCCCTCTCCCAAGTCCATTCATCCATCAAAGGATCCAAAAGAAGAAACAATGATGCTTATTCACCTGTACAGTAACTACAGTTACTGTCCTTACAGAAAAATACTGAATAGCTACCAAAAAAAAAAAAAAAAAAATCACTCAATATTTCCTATGCAGATTAACACTGAAGTGTTTCAGGCTAGAAGAGTTCAAATACAATCCTGGTATTTCTTTGCAACCCCTCAGCTAAGAGTGGAAAATGTAAAGTGACTACAAATATCACTCAGTTCTCAGTTCAAAAGACAAGTCTCCCAGCTACAAGGAAGGAAGCGCTCCATCAAATCCAAACATATAAGGGGGGAAAATAGGCACTTCAAACTCACTTTTCACCTCAAGTTTCTGTGCACATGGGGAAGACAGCTTGCTACAGAGGGAACAGGAGTCTCCCAACAGATACAAACCTATTCATCTAAATTACAGAACTTACACCTGGATGTGTTAACTGGAACTTTATGATTAGCATACCGATTGTGTTCCTCACAGCTGTTCTACTCACACTACCGGAGAACAACTAGTAAATACCAGTGACCCATCTTACACTGTATTAAAAAGCCTTCACACCAACTGAAGAACTAAAATAATCAGCCCCACAAGGGCTACAGTTCTGACAGGTGAAACCATTAAACTGTTGTCACTTCGCAGGTTTGTTGTGGTTTTTTTTTTGCACATTCTCCATGCAAAAGCCTCTGGTATGCACTATGCATCAAGTTAACTAAAAACATGGAAACTGGTTCAAATATCTTATAAGTAGCAGTATGAGGGAACTAAATTATACACGGTGTACATGAAGATCTGTTAGGCAAACTACTGTCAACACACCCTGAACTCTTACTGCCCAAGGGCACAGCAAATGGAATCCTCTTAAAAGGAAACTTAGCTGAACTCCCTAACCTTAAGAGTTGTACAGAAACAAGAACAGTTCAGTAACAGGGTAAGCTACCAGCTTATTTCACACTCACAAGCAGCTTCAGGATCAGCTCTGTCAGGAGAAACTTCTTGATCAGCATCTTCTTCTCCAAACAACTGGCTGTATAATAATTAAGAACAACACCACCACACTAGAATTTCATCATATCTTGTTAAAGACTGAAATATTTGCTAATGGATATATATTCACTTTAGAATTCTTGATATCAGAGAACCATTTCATACACTGCTTTTTAAATTATTTGGATTAATCACACACAGTCTTAACACTGACAACATAAAATGTCCAATACAAAAATGAATTCAGCAAACCACTTCCGTATAACTCAATAGTTCACCTAGCATTGTATTTATACGGCAGTACTGAATGCATTGGTTATAACCCTCCAAGATCCCAGCAAACTTTAGATCTGTTAATACATGCATTAAACTGAAGAATGTGTTAACTTCACACACAGGTGAAGAATAAAGTAAACTTAACCTACACTACAGTGTCAAACTGGCAGATTTTCTGCAATATTAAAGCAAGGCCTAAGTACTAACCCACCTTCCACCTTCACATTAAAAAACAACCACCAGCAAAAAAAAAAAGAAAACAAAACCCAAAAAAACCCCACACCACACAAACAAACAAAAACACACACACAAAAAAAAAAACACAAAAAAACCAAAAAAACCCCACCAAACAAAACCCCACAAACCTGCACCCCAAAACCCAGATCAAAGAACTGGATATTTTCCCTATAATCCATATTCATTTGAAAAAGTAACCAAACCAAAAAGTATATGTCCACTTCATTTCTCTGCCTGTAGAATTTAGCAACCAGAAGAGTAAACCACAGTATCCATTTTCTTTTTAAATAAATTACTTACTTGAACAAATACTTAGCCCACACAATGCAGTGGATAGGTTCTGATGGCGTATTTCGGATTGTGCAGCCTGGAAAAGTCTTCTGAGTTGGTTTGGGATGACATTCATAACATTCTGTCACTCCCTGGTAAAAAGTGAAATATTTACTTGTCACACTGTGAAGGCTATTGGTAACATATGCTACTACCAGTTGAACTGTAACTGTATCTCAAAACACCCAATGCCCTGTTGTCTAAAACAGCCAACAGTTTAAACTTAAAGTGACAAGAGTAATAATACACAAACTAACCTTTTTGATAACTGTTACTTGTCCAAGGTAGCCTGCGGTCCCACTCTCTATAAGAGGAACATCAGCAGCCAGACACATCCTGTTCACATGGTTACGGGCAACTACAAAACCAAGAGTTTTTAAAGAAAAACTCGAATAATTAGAAAAAAAATTTTACTACTCCAAATTCAAACTAGCTTCCTATGAAAACATGTATCCTTAATCTGCCTTATTTCATTAGGGAGCACTACACATTTTTCACAATTTTCCAATTAACACAAAAGATATCAACACATATATAGCAAACTCAACTGAATAAAGTTACATACCTACACACAATAATCATCAGTTCACATAAAGCAGCAGCACAGCAGTTAATATTTACTTTCTAAACCCCTGTCAAAGCACTAACTACCCTTTAAGTTTCTCATAAAGCACACAAGCATTAGGAGAAATTAAGAGGATACTTGTTTTTTAACTGACATTGCAGAAGTACTAAAAGGAGAACACATTAAAGGTCTGTTTGTATGAACAAGCAACAGTATTTTTATCTCCAATATAAAATCATGGTGAAAACTTCACCTCTGTTATCCAGAGCATTCATAACCAACGTAAACTGGCGGAAGAACTCCACATTATAGTCAGGGCTACAGGAGAAAAAAAAAACAAAACCAAACAAAAAACCAATACTCAAAATGGTATATCAAAGTTATTATTATTGCCATAACAGAAACAATACACATGGCAAAGTGTGGACTGATGTTTCTGTGATAAATTACACATATTATGAATTTACTGCTAGCCTTTAAATGCCCCATTTGCCTTCTGCCCATTTTAAAGCTGGATGAAAGCCTCTGGAATGAAGCTATTGCAATTAGTACTAATTTGACCAATGAAACAGGCAGACAACTAAGAAGTGATTATACTGTTCTGACCTAATGAGTAAATTGGCTGAGCTGTGGTAACAGACCTTAAAAACCACCAGCTGAGGCTAAAACGTGCACACTGTAATTACCATAGCTCCTCAGACTGTTGATAATTCATTATACTGTGATAGCTCAATTAGTTTTGATTGTGCCTCCATACTTTTAGAAGCCAAGACACAGGATTTTATAATCTCAATGCTTTAGTATGTTTACACTGCATTTTTCTGATTTAAAGAAGGTGACAAGAGAGTACAGAGGAAACAGGATTAACGGCTTTACAGTTTCAGAGGGAAGCAATGAGTCAGTGTTTCAGTGGCTAATAGGAAATTCAGAGTTCAAACCTTAACATGACAGAATATCAGTTTTTAAGAAACCAAAGAAAAGTAAAACATGGGAAACAGCTAATGAAAATCTACATAATCCTGTACTTATTGGTTACGGATCATAAAGACTAAATTTTAACAGTTTTGTACACGTATAAATGACTGTTACCTAAAAGGACTTACTTCATTACAGACTCAACATTGACATTTATTTTAATCTAATTATTGCTCAAAACATCAGGGCAGCCTTACAGTGTAGAAACTTATATAGTAAGTATTGCTAATAAAATAGACGCAAACAAATGACTACAACTTAATACCAGAGCCTAAGAAAACTCATTCAAAATCCACACTCCCACTCTGGTTTGTGGTAGTCTCATATTTACAGCTTTTTCTTCTTACTGTGGTAGCTGTGTAAAACACCTTAAATCACCCCGTCATAGCACTTAAGTAACACAGTCCTTGCAAACGAAAACATGCAATTAGAGCATAAAACCAAACATACTTCATGACGCTATCATGGTAAGCTATAATATTAGCCTCTGGATAAAACTGTAACACGCTTTCCTTGGCAACCTAGAAACAAACAAAAAACAAACAAACAAAACTTATTATTTCTTCCTTCCTTCTAAAGATAGACTTAATACCAGTTGAGTATCAAGTTGACTACCTTAAGAGATTTAAATACTTTTGTAATGAAATTCTGTGGATAGTCATGATCAACCAACCAACATTTCCCTCTTCACAGTAGAAACAAGATTGTGACATATTTCTAACACTCAGTATTATTTTGTGGACAGTAAGACATAACCCTTGACTTTTAACTCACCTGTGATTTTGATCTTCCAACATGTTTCTTTTGAAACAAAAATTGCCTGTTGAGATTGCTGACATCGATAGTATCCAAATCAATCTATAAACACACAAGAGACAGCCATTTCAGTTTTACAGAAACAAAAGGAACAAAACCATTAACAGAGTTTGAAGCAAATGTGACTGACCAAAATGCATAAACTTTAAAGACACTTTTTCAGACCTGCATACAACGGTTACATCTGTACTATAACAACTATGGAAGCACAAGTGATAACCTAATCATGTTCAGGAATCCAGGCATTTTAAATAATTACTAACGATGGAGCCACATGTAAGAAGTTAAGGGTTACACAACAAACTTTCTGAATAAAGAGTCCCTACTAAAACCACAAGTGAATTTTGAGATACATATGCACAGTAGTTAGGACAATCAGTTACTGACCTTCTACTACATACCACAGAATAAAGATTTTGGTGAGAATTTATCAAGAGCACAGTGTACAGACTCAGAAGGGACACTGCAGAAATTGGTCTAGATAAGTCCAGTCAGACTCTACATGTGACTAACCACCCTGAACACTGTCTCTGTTCCACAGTTCCCCAAGGCTGAAAAAAGGCTTCTCAGCAAACTAATTAGTACTTTACATTTGAACATGGCTTTGAGCAACTGAATCAGTACACTGAGAACTGCGCTGTGTTCTAATCCACACACTGCAGAGGAAAAGGTTTTACTGGTTGTCACTAGAACTAACTGCTTAAGTGTATATTAAAAAATTAGGAAGTCTACTCACAGAAAAAAATAATCCAATCACGCAATTAAAACGTCTAAAAACCTATACCACAGAACACCTCTGATGAGCAACCTCAAAGGGTGTCATAACTGTAATCCTCGTAACAGCCAAGACTTTATTTATTAATACGTGCACATGAGCATGAGAATTTCAAATGTGTTTATCTCCTACCACAATAACTAAGACTTAATTAGAACTTTAAGAAGATTTATTCCTACCTCTGGTACCACTATTTTTCCTTTAAACAATTTCTCTGATCAACAACACTTTTAGAAGTCCACTCCTGTCCCTAACATTTTTAACTAGAAATAGAGACAATTTTTCTGAGCCCAAGATATTTCTCCCCAGTTTCCAAAGACAATAGTCCAGGGTTCAGCAGTGCCAATTACTTTTCTCCTTCCTAGTAGCTGGTGCAGTGCTGTGTTTTGACTTTAGTCTGAGAAGAATACTGATAACACACTGATGGTTTAGCTGTTGCTAAGTAATGCCTACTCTGATCAAGGACTTTCTCAGTTTGATGCTCTGCCACGGAGGAGGGGCACAAGAAGCCAGGAGGAAGGAGACAGGACACCTGAACCAAACAAGCCAAAGGAGTATTCCATACCACAGCACATCATGCCCAGTATATAAACCAGGAGGAAAGCACCCAGAAGGGCAGATCGCTGCCCGGTCAGGCTGGGTATAGGTCAGCAGGTGGTAAGCAATTGTATTGTGCATCATGGGTGTTTATTAGTGGGCTTAAACCATAACAGTTCTTTGTGGCACCCAACATGGGCACAAAGTGTTAAGATAATAACATATCTGACCGGAGTGTGTCTAATCATATTTGTGATAAGCATTTATTGTTTTGGATTAATAGTCAATCATCAAATTGTTGATTTCTTCACTCTCAAAGTTGTTGCTCTTGATCTCGGAATTTCAGCATGTCAAACCTTAAAGCCTGTATTTGCTGTATTAGTGTTTATTGGCTGGGGGCTTTGGGCTAAGGTTCTTATTACCATAAAGGACAGTGAAACAACTTGTAATACAATGGACACATGGACCATGAAACTGATCTAGCTTGCAGTACCAGTGTGGTCACCATCTCTATACTTTGGGAGGTATATAATAGAAGTGTTTAGCAAATACATATCTTTTTTCCCCTCCTTGGGTGATAAACCTGTGAAGGAGACATTCCCTTCGCTTCCCAGCCTCCCCCCTCCCCCCAGACTACTTACAGCATCATTTGAAAGCTCTGAAAGTTTTGAATGGCCTTTGGATATCCTTGAAACCTGCCTGCTGATTGTGATGGGGATCACCATGTTGGCACACATACAGAGCATGTTCTACCCACAACCATTTTGTCTGATCTCAAAAGATAAGCAAAGTCGGGTTTCGGTCTTGTCTAGAGTTAGACGACGATATATAAGAAACAAGAAATTTTCCCAAAGGCTGGACAGACAGGAGCAGCAGGGTGTGTGGGATAGTATGGGCAAGTATCTAGGCCAGCGGGCCCCTCCAGTGCATTAGAACTTCACCACTGAAGAAGTACAAAATCCAGAAAAATCTGTAAAACACTTAAATGAGGTGTGTTGTTATCCCAGTCATACCAGAAAGAAACAAATCAAGGCAAGGTTCTGTGGCTTAGCCTATAATTAGAGAACCCTGTACAACACTAACCAGCACCTTCAAATGGAAAAAAAAAGGTCTCTGGATCTGATGGCAAAGCAACTGACAATGCAGCTACTCTATTCCAAACACAGCATCTACACCAACCCTAGTGACAAGTACAGCAGCTACTCAAACTCCAACTGCAACAGATAACGCAGCTACTCCAAGTACAGCAGATAAACCAGCCCCAGCGACAAGTACAGCAGTTACCCAAACCATGACAACAGATATTGCAGCCACTCCAACCATAACCACTGCAGCTAAACCTTAGGACCAATTGATGCCAATATCAGTTGCCCCTGTACACAAGTGGAAAGGCAAAAAAAACCAACCAAACAAAAAAAAACCAACACCACACTCACTATCCGGGACAGCATCTGATCAACAGTCCTTATCACATGAATCAGAGAAAGAAGAAGAAGAAGAGGTGACTTAATCCCAGACCTCAACCGAGCCACAGAATATATGAAAAGATTTTACCTGTCAACCAGGGGAGCACATCATCACCTGGCTGTTCCGATGTTGGGACAATGGAGCCAATGGTCAAAAAGTAGAAGGTACAGAAGCTAAGCAGCTGGGATCACTTGCTAGAGAAGGGGGAATTGACAAAGCAATTGCAAGAGAGAAAAAGTCCCTCAGCATGGATGTGGCTCTTGGCAGCTGTGAAAAAAAGGTTTCCATACAAGGATGATGTTATGAGTCACTTGCCCAAGTGGACCACACTACAGAAAGGCATCCAGTCTCTGAAAGAATCAACCATTGCAGAGATGATCTAACGCAAGCCAGACGCCAGGGAGGAACCCGTAAATCCAAATGAAGTCAAATGTACACAACCCATGTGGCAGAAATTTACACAGAATGCACCGTCATCATACGCCCATTCATTTACAACAGTAACCTGGAATGACATAGTACCACCAAGAATGGAAGAAATTATTTATCTGTTAGCCCAGGAAGCTAGGAATTCGTAACAAAAAAAAAAACAAAAAACAAACCCAACAAAAAAAAAAGGCAGAAGAGGACAATTAAAAACAAGGGGCTTCCTCCTAAATCTGTTGTCCCCAAGCAGAACCGCTTTGCTAATGAGGAAACGCACTCACACCAAAAACAGCCAGCTGGTACACTGCTAAAGAAGATCTCTACTGGTGCTGCCAGGAAAAAGTGGCAAGTCATAGTAGTAGGGGACTCTACTTTCAAAGGGACAGAAGCACTCATCTGTCAGCCTGACCTGGTGTCATGGTTTAAACCCAGCCAGACAGTTAATTCACTCACTCCCCCCCTTCCCCCCCCCAAGGGATGGGGATGAGAATCGAAAGAACGCAGCTCCCACAGGTTGAAACAAGAACAATCCAGTAACTAATGTATAAAACAAATCACTACTGCTACCACCAATGATAAAAATGATAAAGAGAAAATAACAAGGGAAGAGAATACGATAACACTTGCCGAAACAAGTCCAATCCAGAAGCCCGTTTCTTTCCGGGTAACTCCCAGTTACCTCCCCGTGCATGACGTACTGTGGTATGGAATACCTCTTTGGCTAGCTTGGGTCAGGCGCCCTGTCTCTGCTTCCTCCCGGCTTCCCCTCCTCCCTGGCAGACCACGAGACTCACAAAGTCCTTGGTCAGGGTAAACATGACTTATCAACAACTAAAAACATCGGTGCTATCAGCACTGTTCCCAAGCTGAAAGACAAAACACTATGCTGCACCAGCTACCAAGAAGGAAAAGAACTGACTGCTACTACTAAGCCCAGGACACCTGGTCTCAAGGGACATGTGTTGCCTACCTGGGGCACAGATAAGGGATGTGGCAGAGAGGCTGCCTGCTCTAATAAGTCCCACAGACTATTACCCACTTCTAGTGATACATGTGGGTGCTAAGGATTTAGATAGTAGTTGCCTGGGGAACATAAAGAAGGACTACAGAGCCCTGGGAGAGGTGGTTAGGGGCTCTGGAGCTCAGACAGACTTTTCATCAATTCTCCAGGATACAGGGGAAGACGTTAAAAAAAGCTAGGAGGATTGGCCAGGTTAATAAATGGCTAAAAGGGTGGTGTCATAGTCAGGGGTTTGGGTGTCTTGAACATCGGACCCAAGTTTAGAGTCCAGGTCTACTGGGGACTGGAGGAACTGGTCTGATGATAAAGAAGGGGAAGTGTAGTTTTGGTACGAGGCATGCCAGGCTGGTCAAGGAGGCTTTAAACTACATGCATTGGGGGAGGGGGGTATCATTCCATCCCAACACACCCAGTCAGTTGCCAGCACCTATAATAACTACTCGGAGCAATGTAGAGACATTCCAGCTGCTCCAGCCAATAAGCCAGCTTAATTTGGAGCTCAGCTCAGATGCCTCGATACAAACACCCATAGCATGGGGAACAAACAAGAGGAATTAACAGATATGTGCACATGTCGTGGTTTAAACCTTAGCCAAACAGCTTGTTCACTCACGCCCACTGAGTGGTGCTGGGCTGAGAGCAATCAAGGCCTCCCCCCCGCCAGGGCTCTCCCCTTCCCCACTCCCAGAGGAACAGGGAAGAGGATCGAAAGAGTGCAACTCCTATGGGTTGAGACAAGAACAGTCCAGCAACCAATGTACAACACAAATCACCACCGCTACCACCACTGACAACAATGATAAGAGAAAATAACAA